AACCCCCCGCCGGCGACACGGAGTGAAGGGGCTGAGCCCACCATGGGGGTCACCCCAGCCTGCCCCGCCATGGCCCCCTGCCACCCCCCCAGCCCCTTACTCTCTTCCGAAGCGTTGCCGTCCGAGGAGTCGTCAGAGGCGCCGAGCCTGTCTGCCGGGCTGGGGGGGCTGCCGCCTGCGGGGGGCTGCCCCGAAGGCTGGGGGGGGTCCGGGAAGCTCTGCTCAGCCAGCTCCCGCGTGGGGCTTTCCTGCACAAGGGGAGACAGGCGGGAAGGGACCCTCGTTGGAGGCACGCCTGGGGATGGCTCCTGCCACTGGTCCCCGGCATCCAAAAACGCCATGGGGCTGTGCCCAGTGCCCGGCTCTGCCTGTCCCAAGGCCGCCCACCTGGTCAAAGAGGTAGATGGTAACATCGTCGTAGAAGGAGACGGCCTTCTTCTTGCGCTCCAGGTCCTCGCAGAAGGCCTCGGAGAGCAGGCTAGGCATCTTGAGGAGGCTGCGCAGGTTCCTGCCACTCTGGCTCTCGGCCACCACGATGGGTACGGCTGCCGGCTCCTCCTCGCTCTCCTCGCTCTGCTCCTGGATGTTGTAGCAGCGCAATTCCTCGTCTGACTCGTCGCTGTCCTCCGTGTCTTCCTCCTCCTCCTCCAGCTCCTCGCGGTGCTCGGGGGCGGCCAGCCGCAGCTCCCGGGCAGACGGGAGCGGGGAGAGGCCCAGGGGCGACTTGCCCCCCGCTAGCAGTGTGCTGGGACCCCCCGGTGCGTCGCCCACCCTGGTCCCCTCTGGGAGCAGCCCTGCTTCCCTAAGCCCCGGTGTGGGGGGCACAGTCTGTTTGCCCCTGGCTGCGGCTCCCCCAAGTCCAGGGACGCCCTCGGGCACACAGATCCCTCCAACGGACACCGGCTCCCCAGCACTTGCCGGCACTGGGGTCAAGAAGAAAATCTTGGTTGGCGCAGAGCCCGGGGAACAGGCATCTCCATCAGAGCACAGGGAGCTGCCCGGCACCAGCCCCAGGCGGGCGGGTCGCTGCTGCCGGAACGTCCACTGCCACCACAATGCCGGGCGCTGCTGGGGGGCTGCCAGGTGCCCCCGGGGGGTGCAGTGGGTCCTCTCCCAGCATGGGGGCTCGCCCCAGGTCCTGCGCAGGGGGCCGGGGACACTCCTCTGCCTCTGGGGTCCGGGACCCGTCACTGTCCTCCTCGTCCTTGGGGCCGCGCTCGGCCTCGGCGTCGTAGTCGGAGAAGTAAGCAGAGTCACGGTAGGGGTTCTTCTCAGCGAGGCTGTGCAGCTCGGCCCCGAGGGAGGTGGAGAGCCGCGTTTCAGGGGCCAGACCCTCGCCCCCCGGCAGCCCCGGAGGTGGCTTCCCCGGCTGGCCGAAGGCCTCCGGCTCTCGGGGCTCGTGGGGCTCTTTGAGGACGAACTCGGGGGACTCGTTGTTCTCAGTATCGTAGCCGCTGTCGAGGGCCTTGGGCTGGCCGGCGGGGGTGAAGGCGGTGGGGCTGAAGACCTCGCAGGAGCTGGCTGTGGAGGGGATGTCCAGCGACTCCAGGGAGTCCGGCGTCCCCACCTGCTTCTGCAGGGACTTGAATGCCGGGGCCGCCTCCACCCGCTCCATGTAATCCCCAGAGAAGTCGGTGAAGACGCCGGAGGTCAGCTCCGCCGTGTCCTCGTCACTCCCTTCATCCGCGCTGGGGAAGCTGGAGCTGGAGAAGGTCTTGTCCGGCGTCCGGTCCACGTCACTGGTGGCACACACACCGCTCTCGGCAGCAGCCTCCCCGGGCACCGGTGCAGGAGCCTCGGAGGCCTCTGGCGCAGGCCGGGCGCCATCTACCCC